ACGAATTGGCAATACTATGCCTCAGAAATAACATTATGGACAGTAATATTACGCGTTATAAATTATAACGTGTACACAAGCGTATATCATCCGTGTAACATACTAATAGGTCGGAGATAAAGTTTCTCCGTATTTTGTTTGTATAAAATTGAAGTAAAATCTTTGGTTGTACTGTTTGTATCTGGCTGGTTTTAATATAAATACATAAAGTACATTAAGACAAAAGTAAAAAAACCCTTTCCCGCCATTTTTATATTTCAAATTCGAAATTCGATACATACATTCTGAAGTTTTATTACAAAAAAGGGAAAATGCGACCTAAGCCGCGAAAAATATTTGTGTCTTTTATGGACCTAATTCAGTGTTAGTAAGAGTAGCACAAAGTTGGTTCAAGTTTTTAGTTCGGAAATTTTGATGTCAAAAATGCAGCTCGCTCTGGTCGCCCTTATTCGGATAAAGTCGATACCATTTTTCAAAAAGTGGAGCACGATCGGCATATTAATAGTTACGACATAGGTGAGAAATTGAGGATTAACTATAAAACAGTTTAAACCCATTTGAAAAAGTGTGGCTATGCAAAAAAGCTCGATATTTTGGTACCACACGAGCTCACTACAAGAATCCTAATGAATCGTGTACTCATTTGCGATTCTCTAGTGAAACGTAATGAAACCGAACCATTTTGAAAAGACTGATCACTGGTGATGAAAAGTGAATCACCTGCGACAAGAACGTGCGAAAAAGGTCATAGTCAAAGGGTAGCCAAGTTCCACAGACGGTAGCGAAACCCGGATTAACACGCAACAAGGTGACGGTGATTTTTTGCAGAGATACCATTAAATTACACAAGCACTGAAAAAAAATTTGCTAAATTACAAAAGAGTTAAACCAAAATGTTAGATAATTTAAAAATAAAAATTTTGTACTGCCGACTTCAATATAAGTCATTAAGAATTACTCAAAAACTATTGGTCTGACCTTCATCAAATTCAAATGGACCACACGAGAAGCACCAGCTTTCAAATAAAAAAAGAATCATCGAAATCGGCTCACCCAGTAAAAGAGTATGAGGTAACACACATAAAAAAAACATACAGTCGAATCGAGTACCGTCTCCTTTTTGTAAGTCGGCAGAAAATGTTATAATTTAAAAGCGGAACACACTGGCTGAGCACTAACCAGCATGTGTACATGGCCTGTGTATTGCGACACGATACCAGTCTTAATGTATTGAAATATTTATTTTTTATTCTTCTTTAAAAAACGTAACCTGCACACTAGGATTTTCTCCTGTATCGTGGGGACAGTTTACATACATGAATTTTACAAGGACAAAGACTAGACCATACAAATACATGTTCTGTGCGGGATCCGAATCCGCATACTGAACGAATTCTTTTTAAAGAAAAAAATAAAAATAATATATATTAAACTGTATGCTGTAAATGGAAGACGTCATCGTCATACCACCTGTGTTCCGTGTATGACATCTTCAATTAAATTTGACTTACGCTAAATAACAAATCCATCTTTCGCGAAGCACTCATACAAATAATTAAAACATTAATTCTATTCACGACAATGTTAATTTTTATGTTATAATTAAAAGAGCTGATGTACTTAACATTGTATTTCTCAACAGAGCCCTCTCTCATAGTAGGGAGGACTTGTCTTAACCGTCTTGCATCTTATAGACACTTATTCTGCACATACCATCAGGTTGACAGTAGATTTATTTGTTTATCACCTTTATGTCACAGAAACACCCGCAAGTCGCAATTTTAAGGAATGAGATACATTTACAATAGTTTTAAAACTTGTTTTTTTTTTCACCGTTGCCGGTCTGTCAGTTTTATTTTTTTAATTGTCTAGCACAGTACAATCTTCACGCACAATCCCTGATGAAAGCTGTCCCAGACGCGAGGCCCACCATACTTGACCATTTCAGCAGTAACTCTGTCTAGTCCCGCAGCCTTACAGTGATTCCCAGCCAGTGGTCCGAAAGAGCTTTAATATGGTCCGCGAGGGATTTAAATATTTTACATACATAGTCGTTTTAAATAACACATAATTATTTTCTAGTCACGCGGGCAGTACAACACCACATGTGGCGTTATTAAGTACCTACTAGCTTTTACAATAAATACACAAATAATACTGTTAATGAATGCTTCTTTTCAGCTTATTATATAATTATGTTAAATGTTGTGATTATAATTCTTTGTTAGATTAACAGTTTTTTCTTTCCTCTTGTGGCCCCTTCTAACTTCAAAAAAATCAGTGGTCCCTGGTCAAAAAAAAAGGTTGGGAAACCCAGGTCAAACAAACATGCAGATATTGCAAAACCAGATTCATTCTGCCCAGTATAATCTTTATTTTCACAGCTTAGGGGTTAGCTGAAACCTTAATGAATTCCACGACTAGCTTAGCTGTGGGCATTTTCATTCTTAGCTAGCCTGGTTAGCTTGAATAGTAAAGAGTTACTATTATACAAACTGCAACACTTAATTGATTTCACAGTACGCTTTATTTTTCGCGCCAGGCTATGTTACATATTGTTCATATTAACTGCGCAAGCAAATACAAGGATCTTTCGCCATGTATTTATGTTGTTTAAAAAATCGTATTATAATTTTCTCCATTTCCATTCACGCTTCACGATTTTGAGCTCCGCATACCATAGCAACACATAGATATACGTTAGTAAGTTACTGTATATGCAGTAACACGAAACATCTAACATGGTAAATACTCTGTGTATCGTATGGTAAGTACGAGAACTAGACACTTTTTATTTGAAAAGGGGCATTCCATCTTAGTCCTCGGGAGTGACAACGTATCTGCATTTTGTTTCTTAATCGAGGACATTTGTACCATCAGGTAGACTGTGAGCTCGTTTGTCACAATTATTTTATTAACAAGTGGTAAAATTAAACATTTTGTACAACCGACTTCAATATAAATAAAATGAGAACATCATCAAGGTGATCGAAGTCAATTAAATAAGAATTATTAAGGGTAACTCAAAAACTACTGGTCAGATTTTGATCCAATTTATGTGGGACCACATGAGACGCGCCAGCTTTCAAAGAAAAAAAGAATAATCGAAATCGGTTCACCCAGAAAAAAGTTCGGATATAACATACATAAAAAAACTACAGTCGAATTGAGTACCCCCTCCTTTTTTGAAGTCGGTTGAAAAAATGGCATGTACCAGTGATCATCATGTTAACGCTATCAGTTGGATTTAAAAACATAAAATACATAGTTGAAATTCGCAATAGCCGTCATATCAAGTGTATATAAAATAACACGTAACGCATTAATCATTATCCAATATCCTGTATTATCACGCACACAAATGGTTAATAGTCGTCCGCTCTTTAAATTATATTAGCGATTTGAAAAGAGGGTAGCCTAAGAACAACGTATTTTTTATATATTTAACGCAAATTTCCGCAACATTAGTAGACTGACTTTGCAGTCTTTTTTTTTTCAAATATGTTTACTTTCAACTTAGTCCCTGATATGTTTTAATCAGATGCGATGGTAATTTGACGAGCTATAGAAAAGAGTTTTTATTCGCCAAGTTATTCAGTTGAGAAAACATAAAATAACACTTGGTTATTAGTGTTTTTAAATCGAATGCTAATAAAGAATTCTGGAACAGCTACCCTTTAGTTTGTTCAGATCACTCACAACACTGAAGCTGAAGCTGGAGGAGGAAATGTTGGTACATTTCCTTAAATATTATTACTTAAGTACAAACTGAATCGATTGAGTAAGCCATACATTCTTTTTAAATATATCAAGACAGAGCAATTTACTTTTCGTTGCGTTTTAACTTGAAGTTAAAAAATATTTAGGTAAGTCAGAAATTGTTAATTCCATTTTAAAGTGTTTATTTACCACGTGCTCGGCGAAGGGAAACAGTGAGCAAAGCTGCATGTGAGAGAAATTAGAAAAATCGAAAACATGTTAGTCCGCCAACACACGTTGGCAGTGCAACGGACTCTTTACTTGTCTAAAACACTCACAAAAATGAGAGGAGCCCTGTGCCCAGCAGTGGCTCGAATATAGGCTGTAACTTTCCTTTTTTACTCTAAACAAAATATATTCATCACTTTACCTATTTCTAGGTTCGCTTTAAATATTATATACACCACTGAAGATTTATGGCTTGGAAAATAACACTATAATATTTTTATATTTATTGCATTTTAATTATTAATAATTACATGGGATACACCTTTACCAACTAATATTTAATTACAAACCATACAATTTATTAAGTAGGGAATACTCAATAAATCGTATGGAAAAATATTTAATTTTTACTTTATGTAGGAATATGAAAAATGTCTTATTAGATTTAAAAAAGTCTACATATTGATAGATGTGCCACCGGTCTAGTCCCTTGTGAATGCAATACATACACTGAAAAAACCTAATTGCTTCCAGAGTTAATACATAGATTCATGTGCGGATTTCAAATCGATATATTATTGATTTTTTTATCGAAGTAAGGTTGACAAGGTAAAATTCTTAACAACTATACATTTTCATTAATCAACACAAAATACATTTTACATTGATGTAGATTTTTTTTTTTGTATAAATAGCTGAATCTTGTTTACATTCATGGGTTAGAACAGACATAAACCTATTTATTATGGCATTTAAATATTTTGTGTAAAATTACACAACGCTTAATAAGCGTGCATAGTTATTACACTACAGGGTCGAGTGAATAAGAAAGAGCTTTCAATGTTCTTTAATCTTACTAAAATACTGCAAATAATAAGAAAAAAATGTATAATTTCAAAATTATATTAATATTTTTAACGTGAAAATTTTAATTTTAGTTATTAAAGCTTAGAAATATACTAAATAAATGTTAAAATTCTAGTAACTTTAGAAAATGTTAAAATGCAAAGTGATAATAATGCCACTGATTCATAGATAACACGAGGGAATGATTTTACTGTAAAAATATTTTCTCAGCCACAGCCGCAGCCCCCCATTGGTGGTGGGGACGGTCCAGAACCAGATGGTCCAAATCCGCCGAACTTCTTTGTTGGTGGCTTTGGTGGTCTGAAAATTAAAAAAAATAACACATAAATTCTCCAAGCCATCATATTGTTTTATGTAAAATGATTGTTTATGTAAAATGATTGTGTCAAATTTAATAAGATTTATGAATTTCAAAAACGCTATAATTATACAAATTCAAGCCTACAATCAAATTATTAATTATAACGTCGACTAAAAAAACAATAATACAATGCAACAAGTTCTTTTTTCATTGGAGCGACAAACAAGGTAATACCTTCTCTACACTACTCGCGAGGTAGATCGAAGTTGGACGAGACGAATAGTGTAGACAGGTACTTCGATACTTTCGACACTTAGTCCAACCTCGCTTCGCATCGGGCGACTTCCGATCGATGTCGGTTTTTTGCGCCAGAGTCAAAGGACTTCGCGAAGTACCCCGAAGTTACACGAAGCGTCTCACTACACTACTCGGCTTACGCCAGTTATGAATTTTTTTTTTTATATATATAAATATTAAATATGTACCTTTCTACATAATTATTTATTTAGTTAATGCATTGACGTCGTACTGTTAACACAATTAGGTACCTATAGCAACTGCCTCTTGAACGTCACTCATGTTAAGGGTGCGAGAGACTCAAGACGACTGAGCTCTTCGCGAAGTAACACGAGTGTGTGGTCACGTTCTTCGGATTGCGATCGACTTCGACGAGCACTTCGTCGAAGTTAGTTCGCGAGTAGTGTAGAGGAAGCATAATAGTTCTAATGGAAAGTGGCTACTGCAGTGCATGCACACTTGTCACCAATTTTTAACAATAACTTGTCTACGGCAGTATACCTTGGAGCAGCAGAAAAATGCCTCGCACATACTTCCACACTACACAAAACAAAGTGTTAAAACACTGTCTAATGCTGTTACGCTTTTTGTAACTATTGGACACTATTACACCTGATGGTAAATGGTGATGTAGCCATAAAGCCCGCTTTTCACTATGGGATATAATATAATATATATTACATCTCGAGATATAAATTAATATCGCTCACCATACTTTTGAATGGAACTGTTTACACTGAGTTATAATATATATTACATCTCAAACTTTTACATTCTCAATTTTTTCGATCGACCGAGCGATATTTTCATATTATATTTCGCCCCCTGTTCCCCGCACACCGTTCCGCGCCCCCTCAGAACGGTGTACGGGGTAAAGGAGGTAATCCAATGACCAAAGACGAACGCACACTAGTTAAAAGATATATCTCACAGTGTGAAAGCCAATCGCGGGCTATAATTTATATTTCGGGATATAATATATAATATATAGTATATATTACATAGTGAAAAGCCAGCCTAATAGGTATAGCACACAGCTTAACGAACCGGAGGCCATGTCAAAAAGGACAAGGTATTTTGACTTTTAATTGAGAAAAGATGTAACTATATATAGGGTCGTTTAGTCAGTTGGCGACCGATTAGCGGAGTACTCAACTTTACGTCAATATTTAAGTACCACATATCCATAGCACAGTTATTGGAATTATTTGACAGGGTCCTAGATATTGTCAAGTTATATTTAAAAATTAAAAAATGATAATACAGTTGTGAGAACATTTTAAATTAAAAAATAATGAAAAACTATACGAAATGCTAGTTAGCGACCACCTTTGTCAATTTACGACCGACGCCTTATCTAATTGGCGACCACTTGATCTACTATGCCAAACTACATTTAATTAATAAAAAATAAAAAGAAATGCGTACATTTTAATGTTTTTTATTCAATGTAAATATTAACGCTTTATTATTCATACATTTAATAATTATATAACAGTCATATTTTCATGAGATCAAAGCTACACATTATTTAAACTATACCTACTTAAACTGATATCACAGCACAACATGTCTTAAACAATGAACAATATAAACCTAAACAACAATTTCAAAAATATCAAATTAACAATATAAATGTAAACAGCAATTATTTTCCAATACACACTCACCATTAAACTGCAATCACAGCACAACTTGTCTTAAACAAGTATACAAGTATCAAATGAACAATATAACTAAACAACAATTTCAAAAATATCAAATTAACAATATAAATGTAAACAGCAATTATTTTCCAATACACACTCACCATTTACTTAAGTACTGAAAACTATAAAAAAATATGTAACGAAGTCCTGACTACGATCAAGTTTTTCTATAATATCTAATTTAATCTTCTTCTATAATACAAGAATTGCATTTAAATGCCTTATCTTTAACTTCATCATAACTTAGTCCGATGAAGTCTGTACATTTTAAATGGAACCATTTGGTACAGAAATCACAGCCAACGTTTTTGTCTTCGTCTTCCTCTGTGTCACTGTTTAAAATCACTTCGCATTGAGCACATCTTTGTTTTGTGATATTATTTTCTTTATTCTCTGTTCCTAAAATATTAAATTTATCAGTCTTCGTTCGTTTCACAGTCTTTCTTCTCTTAACTTCGTCTCTTTCATCCTTTTTTCTTTTAGATGCTTCTTTTTTACGTTGTATGGACTCTCTTTTCTCATGTTTATTTTTTTCTTTTTCCTCGTAATGTTTCCTCCAAGCCAAAGATGATATTGCAGCAGGAACTCGAGGCTTAGAAATATTTTTGTTTGATTTTACCAAGGGTTCAGGCACAAATAAATGCTTACTAAAAGCATTAGTGCTGAGTGCAGTTGATTCCGCAGGTATGACTATTACATTATCAAGTGACTCCATAGACGTTGGTTGATGTCTGCTAGTGTTGCCTAAAATGGAATAGTTATTTTCCGATATAACGTTTGTAGAAAAGCCTGAATTTGATATTGAAGTTGATAAAATAGGTTCAGTCATAGTCTGATCTGCTAGTATTGTACACTGAGAAGCTAACAATTGATTTTCTTCTATTGTCATTTGTGTTTTGAACAAAACTTCTGTTTCAGAGTAAGGTTTTTCAGATTCAGTCAACGATTCCTTGTTTTTTACATGAGGTAATGTAATTACTGCTGGCGACGAGATACCTTGAAACTCTATTCTTGTTGGCGTACTTGATTGTAGAGGTATTATTACGATATCATCCAAGGATACTAAAGTACCTTGATCAAGATAACTGCCAGATAAATGAAAGCTCGAGAGACTGGTTTCTATATTTATATTTTCTGTTGTATCTTGCCTAGAAATTATTTGGTTGTTAATGGCTTCTTGGTCTTTTAATTCCAAATTAGTTAATAAAGATTCAGAAACATTGTATTTATCGCAGCCCTCTATCGCAATATCTTTGGAAGTATCTGCATGTAATAAAATATTTTCTTTAATAGGCGGAGGCAGCAACTGTACATCTGCGTAATGCGTGTTGTTCAAACCTGACCCGTCGATAACTGATGCTGGATCGCTATCTTTAACTGGATTAACAGTATGTGGCATAGAGGTAATGGTCGCAGGATTGGCCTTACTCAAATTTGTTTCACTGTCTATCAGTAAAGATGTTGATAAACGAACTGTCGAATTAGATCGGTCCTCAGACCCAGTTTCATACAAAACTTCTGACTGTCTGGGCTCTGTCTTTCTTAACTTCTTCACTTCTCTCAAAATAAAGTTGATATCTACATTTTTCTTACGGAGAACTGGTCCTAAATGCCGTATCACCTTTCGCGTGGAAACAAGATCTTGATTTGTTATACCTGTTTGCTCACAATTTCTTGAATTATTGAGTCGTTCCATAGTACTTTGTACACACTTCGTGTAATCCACTGCATTAGGGTCAAAAGGAAACAAACCACATTTTCTAAATCCATTTTTTATACATATATCCATCTGCGAGTCCTCAATAATGTTTTTAAACAATTGACAAAAATTAGTTTTTGTTACTGAAGCATTCAAATTGTCAGGTTTGGATAAAAACTTTCTTACTTCTTTCCTCCAATTTACTTTCAATGGGGCAAACACACTGACATCAGCAGGTTGTAATATGTGCGTGGTGTTTGGTGGCAGAGCATATAATATTATTCCTAACTGTTCACACATAGAACTTAACACCAACGACATATGCGATTTATGGCCATCAACAAGAAGTAAAATGGGCTTCTGTATTTTGTTATTTTCAACCCAAGTATTAAAATCGTTAACTATATATTCAAAAAATATTTCGCTTCGCATCCAACCGGATTCGCTTCTACCCAAAATCCATTCCGGAGGCATACTCTCAGTTACCGCATTAAAATTAATTAAAACGGTCAAATTATCCTTTTCGTTCCCTGAATTTACTTGGTACAAGTTTCGAAAGCCTTTTGGTCCAAGAACTTTTCCGGTTTTGGGGCATAATGAAAAACCACTCTCATCAGCATTGAATATTCGATCAGGCTGTGTGAGAATATCTGACTGTCCTGATTCGGATAAAAATGTTTGAAGTTCTCGAAACCACTGCCTTATATGCTCTTCAGTAACACGTGCACGAGCTTTGTTTATGCTTTCTGCTGCCCGGACTGAGATTTCTGGGTTTCTTTTAAGAAAGCCTGAATACCAGGTCTGACCAGGACGATCATCTTTAAATGGATTAGGTCTCTGATAGTCTTTAAGAATTTTCTGTACCGTGTCTAGTAGTTCCTGTTTTTTGACAGGAAAACCACATTTAGCAATTTTGATAATCCATTGTACGACTTCTTTCTCCATGGATATACCTAAAACCGGTTCGGGTCCTGGGTTATTTAGTTTATCAGTCCTTTTGCCACTTAGTCTGTCTTGTACTGTAGATCTTGGGATGTTATATTTTTTACATGTTTCTCTAATACCGTATCCTCTTTCTCTTATATCTTTTAAGGCACTTTCCAGGTCTGTTTGTGAGTAAGCCAGAGTTTTTATTCTATTACGATTTTTAGAGGACATCTGTAATAAAAATATAAAATATTAAATATATATATCTACAAAAAAATATAGTGGTAAATGCAAGTGGTCGTAAAACCACACGTTAATTTGCCACTTTTAGTTAGCGACCACTTAAAATCCCCATACATTTTGAGATCGTCAATTATACAATTTAGAATACAATTGGATGGTCGTAAACTAAAAGATATGTAACAAGAAATGAACAAACGTAATAGAAAGCCATAAAATCCCGGACTAGGTTTATAGGCTATTAAAATATAAAAAATAATTTTTCACTCTAAATGTATATTGGCGACCACCTGGCCGCAAACTAAAATTATTAGATTATTTTCATTTTAGTTAGCGACCACACAATTTTTTACAAGATTTGGTTATATTACATAAAACAAATGTAAAGATTACGTTAAATACATATATATTTAGTAAATATAACATTAAAAAGTTGCCACAAATAAATAGAACACTAGCTACTTACCTTGAACGCAACACGTGCTCACTATTTTTTCCGTTGTTATGGAACCGTGCGCGCGCCGTCAGTGCGAGTGGCGGAATGAACCTAAGATTTATTAACTGTCTGGTTACACAAAGCTGCCAACTATTATAGGTAAAAATCATACATCTATCCCTCTCTGTACTTAGTGAATTTCCTTTGGAAAAGAAGGATCAAATTCTTATTTATTTCGTATTAGTGCCGTAGGTCCCGTTAATGGTCGCTAACTGACCCTGGTCGCGTAACCAGCTAAATGTCCCTAGTTATTCTATTTCACGCTCAAGGTTTCGCCTTGATTGTAGTAGTGACGTGTACCGACAGGCACGTTTGTGTGGTTAACTACGATTCGTTCGACTCGCGATCGTGACTGAGAGCTCCCGAGGCTTACGCACACTAACACAATGTGTATGTACACGGCTTACAACAACCATAGTAAAACCATTATCGTGAAATAGAATAACTATACCACAGCATCCAATTACGACAAGATTAACGATGTGCAAGTTCTTTGTATTGTGTGAATTTAATGCGTGTGAAATTTAAAGTAATTGGTCTATTTATTGTCTTAAAGGATTTTTTGTAAATTAGAATGAGAAGACCTTTCGATTACAATGTGGGTAAGAGTAAAGAGTTTTTGTAGCGCTAAAACAGCGCGATACACATTTTATCCTAGTTCATTGGACGTGGGTTTAAGTTCATATTCAAACAAAAGATCTATCTAAGTCCAAGTCTATCTCCCATTTTATTCTACTGTGGATATTATATCCACCGGTGTGCCCTCGAAGGGTGGATAAAACTAAACGGGGGGATAAGCATTTTCTCCTCTCCCCGGGGATAAAAGTCTCCTGCCCATGCTAGCCCTACAGGTAGGATAATACATAGATTAAAAACAAGAATGGACTAGGAATTTAATCCTTAGGAAGATCCATTGATGATATCAGCCTGGAAATACTCTTTCCATAGTAGTTGTTAGAACTCTGAGTAGACTGTGCGAGCCCACTTCGGATGTGTGTTGGTGGGCTGCAGCGAGTGATGTGTCCTCTCCCCGTATCGCTGCAGCTGAGGTGGACTCGCGGAGGAAGAGGAGTTTTGGTAAGGCGATGCGCTATTCGCCCTGTCCTCCGCGACAATGAGGGGGCCGCACCGTTCATTGATGCGGTGGTGGTTGGGCTGCGGTGGGAGAAGAGTGTCGGTATTGCGAAGTGACGCTCTCCTTATCCCCAGTAGCCAAAGGGGTCAGGAAGGCTAGTGCTTCAGAGTGCTCGTTTTTCCGGGCCCCATGGCCTTCAAGGTGAAGTTGGTGGCCGCGGAGGAGGGCGCGTCATGTGTTCTGGTGCGCCTTACCTGAGAAGGAGATGGGGGAGGAGTGGTGCTCTCCCGAGGAGGGGCCGCCATGGGGCGGTCAGCGCTGGTGGGGCCGCAGATGTGTGCGAAAGCATTCCCATGGCCCTACCAATATGCGACGTAGGTGGAACACCATGGAGTTTTAGTCGGTGCGAGTCCGATATAACAGGTCCTTGCCCCCGCGAGGTTTAGTATTATATAATTTAAAATAAAAAATGTTGTACAGCCGACTTCAATATAAGTTATTAAGAATAACTCAAAAACCATTGGTCTGACCTTGATCAAATTCATATGGGACCACACGAGAAGTACCAGCTTTCAAATAAAAAAAGAACCATCGAAATCGGTTCACCCAGTAAAAAGTTATGAGGTAACACATAAAAAAACAGTCGAATTGAGTACCGTCTCCTTTTTGGAAGTCGGAAGAAAATGATCTTACCCACTGCCTGGAGGCCGGAAATCTCTTACATATTTGTCTCCATGTTTACTGAAGTTCGGGTTAATCAGGGTTTGAAACCTGCAAAATATAATAAAAAAATATTTTTTTTAAATAAAATGGAACAAGACGAAATCAACAAAGTAGTAAAATTACATAACTTGAACCTATATATACGTTAGTTTTATAAAACTGAAGTGACCAACGAACTTACAGTTCAGCTGATGGTAAGCAACCACTGCAGTCCATAGACACCTACAGGAAACTTAGCTAAAAAAGGTACAGATATATCGTCATCTCTGACCTCTGAGGTCTAAGATGGAATGTTTCACAGCCTGTAAATTATACTGGCTATTTACGCCTTTCAGACCGGAATAGAGTAGTGCAGACTAGTACCCAGACGGACATGGCAATAAAGGAAAGTCCATATCACACTACATCTTAAAAGATAGCAGTTACGCACAAGCTCAAATAAGTGTTTTTCAAATGCAGTCTGCCATCCATAACTAAACAAAGGTTAAGAGCCTCACTTACACATTCCAGAGGAACATTTAGCAACATAATTTTCAGGTTTTGTTTCTTTAAAACTTTTATTTGGATTTTTAATCCTAAAATCATGTAATATATATATATATATATATATATATATATATATATATATATATATATATATATATATATGTTTAGAATTTATTTATATATATTCATGCAATTTAAAAATAAATCTATTGATGGGACAAAAAATTAAAACACTATTATGTTAATATGTTGCTTGATAGAATACTCTGACAAAAAATCAGAATGATTGATTGCATGTATATTAGTATGATTTTCAATCGTTAAAATAAATTTATAGAGGTATCTTTGTGATTTTTTTCGTATCAAATTAGTAGTATCAAATTTTGAAAACACTATCTAACTAGTATATAATTTGAAAAATATCATATATTTTTCTTATTTTGTTTACAGCAGTGAATCATATACTTTAAGGCATTAATACCTTGCTTTTAGCTCTTGTATTGTAGTCCCTTTAAGTGAATACTGTTAAGAAAAAACAAATGACCACTTTAATGTTTTAATAGAAAGACGTATTAAAAAAGATAGGTTACACGCTAACATTATTGTATTATAAAGTGGCGCAAGTAGTACTATATCTACGTACAGTTATTTATTATGACACGTTGCACTAACAAAAAGGGACAAATGATACGGCATACCTATCGTTAGAAAAAGATGAATATACATCATTAGTTGCGTATTGAATGTTGCTGAGCGCTCATTGGTGCGAGCGCGTGACATACCGATATGGAAATGAACACACTAGCTAGCGTCAAAGTTTACACTAGCGGTTAGTGTTGAAATAATAAAACCAATTATGAACAAAACATCTATATTCAAAATATTAATGAGATATTTTTCTTGTCTCTAACAGTTGCCGTGTAATTTGTGCACCACTTAAAAACACAGGAAGGCATTTATACCACGAATAACTAGAAGATTTACGCGCAGTAGCGAAGGTATAGCCGCGACGCGATAGCGTGCCCGACTGAATGCGAGTCGGGTAATTACCTGACTTTCGTATTGCCATTTTAGAGCGAGTATGACGTATCTATACTTTAAGAACATCTTAGATTTAATATTTTTTTTTATGTGGTAGAGCCTTGCTGCACCTATATTAGTAGTATAGTTGTAGCACGAATGGTTTGGCTCGACCGGGGAGAACCACGCTCTCACAGAATACCAGCGTAAAATAGCAGCTTAACACTGCTGTGTTTCGTATGGTGAGTGTAGAGAACCGGAGACCCTTTTTACTGGAAAAGAGACATTCCATCTTAGTCCTCACGGGTGGCAACGCATCTGCATTTTGATTCGCAAACGAGGATAGATGTAGATGTAGATGGGCCACAGCAACCACTTACCATCAGGTAAGTGGTTGCTGTGACCCATGTACAGGTCTACCATCATGACTGTGTGCTCGTTGGTCACCCTATCTTATTAAAAAAAAAACTTATCATGAACAGCACGTAGGTGACTTTGTTTGAAACCAATTAAATATAAAACAAATTACCAATAATTTAATAGTAATAATAATGAATTTCGGTCACGGCGGCAGCCTCAACGGAGACTAGCCATCGGCGCAGGACAGGATTATAGTGTCCAAGTGTATGCGCAAGCACAGGTGCACTCTTTATTCCCCCACTCTCATAATCCGATAGGATGGTAAACCGTCACAACCGGAGAGAGATCAGACGTATTACTAACGACTTTACGTGTTTTCTGAGGCAAGGGCGGGAGACACTGCCAACTTCCTGATTCCGGGCAGCTACTGAGAATTTCTTGATGGAAAAGCTCAATAACAGATTTTTTGGCCTGACCCGGGTTTCGAACCCGGGACCTCATGATCAGCAGACGCACTACTAGAACCACTAGTCCAACTAGGCTGTCAGTTTCCAATAATTTACCGCTGATCCAAACGGAAGATCAAAACATTTCCAAGTCACATCATATTTTTAATGACTTATTATAATATTATTTGTTACAGATGGAGGAATGTTAAAATGTCATTATCATAATGAAGCTTCACTCACAGATTGAATGAGAGGGAATTTCATAATCAACATGTTTTTCCCGGAATGTTGAGATAAGAAAAATGTAACAGATATAGAATCACTTCGGGGTCTGTTTATCGGAGGTTTCGGAATTTAGCACAGAGATGTGTAATAATGTTATTTATAGTGCAAAGTATAAAAAGATGAAAGGGATAAATTTGTATATTGGAAAAAAATTAAGGGCTCACAAACATTCTATATATTACTAATGTGTACCCTTAAGACTAAACGAAAAAAAATTTTTATGTAACTATTTAAACATTACATTAAGTGATACATATTTTTGATACCCACGTGATTTTGACATTCCTTAGATATTTTTTAAAGATATACTTATTCAAATATTATTATAATTATATTATTACAATTATTGTTATAGATATACTATTTATTATTCTTGACATCCACTTACCATTTTTAAATAGTGTACAATTTTCATAATTTGGGTGATAGGTACTTATTAATAACTTTTATCTGAGTATTGAAAAAATCAGCTCATAATTACACAAATTCACAAATAGGATACTTACAGTAGATAAAAGAAATTCAAGATGCTCCAGAACCATCCAAGCACGCTGAATGGTGTTTTTTCAACAACTGTTCCATCTGGAATACAATATACAATAATTTATAATTTGAATATATTTAATTAAACTAAACTTCATTAACAATTTACTCCTCAACACATATCACAAATAGCTTTTCAAATAGTGTTCTTTATTATGTTTTGTTTTGATATGTTATAATCATTAATCATTTATAACAAATAGAACTGCCTCTGGTTGCTGAATTTGTCTGAGGGATTGAATGGTCATTGCAATACCAAATGTTTCATACCCAACCCTTAGACAATACAAGTGCTGGCATTTTTGCGCTTTTTTGGTCAGTCTAGCACATCTGTAAATTTTAGTGATTAGCACCTTTAAATCTGACATGGCAAGACAGTTTAGCTGATACCAACAAGAAATTTATAATATTTCATTTAAGTTGATTAAATGAAAACTACAGTCTATAAAATCAAACATATTTCATGTTTTTATTTACTTATTAATGGGACAAAATATCAAATTTAGTGTGAAATCTAGTGCTTTGTTGATGTGCTAGCTTCTTTGATTAACACCTTCAATATAATCTACCAATCTACCACAAAAATCAAATCTACTAATGCTGAAATAAAAATATATGGCTATTATATCCAAAAATGCCATAACATAGCTTTGATTATTCCTTATCAATATAGGACATACGAGGGCGGCACTGAAAATTTCGGAAGGAAGTGACACAACATTACTATTTTAAAATGTATTTATTGCTTTTCGAAGTATTCTCCGCGAAATTTGACACATTTTTCCATACGATGGAACCAATCATTGAAGCAACCATTCCATTCGGAAGTTCGGGTCTCCAAAATGGCCGTTTTGTAGGCGTCCACAGCTTCTTCAGGTGATGAAAATCTCTGTCCACGCAATTTATTCTTTATTTTAGGGAAGGTATAGAAATCATTAGGGCTTAGGTCGGGGCTGTACGGCGGATGGACTAATAATTCTATGTTTTCTTGCTCTAAAAACTCTTTTGTTCTATGTGCGGTGTGAGAACTCGCATTGTCGTGATGGAGTATGATGCGGCGGTTGCAGTTCTCTTTACGGAGTTCAGTAACGACCTGTGGCAAACAAATGCTAGCATACCATTCTGCATTAACCGTTCTTTGTCCCTTAAGAGGAATAGTCGTAACTTTGCCGGTTTTGGAGACAAACGTGGCCACCATTTTTTTTGCAACACTCCGTAAACATACAATTTTTGTTGGCTTTAACTCATTTTCGAACACCCAAACTCGTGACTGGTTTTTTGTTTCGGGATCGTACGCGTATATCCAGGAATCGTCACCTAATACGATGTTGTATAGGTACAGCATTTGAGGATCCTGTGTGGAATCTTTCGGGAGTTCTGACGCACCAAGTAACGCGAGCCGCTTTTTGCTCTTCATAGAGCGAATGCGGTATCCATCGGGAAAACAACTTTTTTACACCTAATTGTTCATGCAAGATTATTTGTATTTGACTCATGCCAATGTCTAAAGTTGCCTGAATTTCGCGGTATGTCACATGTCGATCTTCCTCAATCAGCTTACGCACCGCATCAACGTTTTCTTGGGTGACTGCAGTTTTTGGACGGCCTTGACGGGGATCATCACTGAGCTTGACACGTCTACGTTGAAATTCAGCAAACCAGTGATAAATTGTGGTTTTGGATGGGGCTTTATCACCAAATGCAGAAATCATCCGGTCAACACACTGTTTTTGTGTTAAACCATTTCGAAAGTCATTATAAATCATCGCTCTTGAATTTTCTCGAGTCAATTCCATTTTCTCAACGACTAAACAAGTTTGACAAAACCTTGTGACAAGACCGAGAATCTTTTTTTAAATAAATAAATAGAATTCAATTTAAAAAACCAAGGACATTTCAATTAAAAAGATTTTAATATGACAGGAACAGTGGAAATATTCCATTCCCGACTTTTAGTGCAGCCTATGTAGTTATGTGAAAATGTTCCAATCCATGAGTCACTCAAAATGGAGATTATTTCTTTATTTAATATTTCTCATTGTATGTTCCAACCCACATTTTTACCAAAAAAATTCTTTCATTGAAAAATAAAATGTATTTATCCATCTGAAACATTCTTTTAATACAATTAATTAAAAAAATTGGTAGAATGTCTTAATAGTCTTGGAACATTTTAGCAAACTCTTGTTATGTTTTAATGTACCATTGTGTTCGAAACGTTATAGCTAAATAACGAGTGATGTGCAACACATCCGAATTTGGTGATACCATTTCATTCTCCATTTCAAGTCCAAAATAATCAAAGTAAGGTATAAAAGTTTATAAGGTTCCATGAAGTTTGAAATATTATAACAAAAATTTAGTTTTTCTTATACTCATTCTTATACTCATACTGGATTAAAGAAAAATATATATCAATATGTTATGTAACATTATAATAGCTATTCATCATCATGATAATTACAGTCCTTCACAAGTGCTGCTGAACATAGGCCTTCTGCAAGGAATGCCATCCACTTCATGCATATTTTTCTGAGGACCTACGTCATTCCATCTAGTGGGGGATCGTCCTAAATTTCCCTTACCGGTATGAGGTTGCTCCACACCACTGCAGAACCACTCTTACACAGTTGTCGAGTTTTTCAGCTATATGGACAATCCATTACCACTTCAGTTCTTGCACCTGCTAATCCATCGGGCTATGTCTGTTACTCGGGTTCTACTGCGGATATCCTCATTTTTAAGTCTATCACACAGAGAAACCCCAGGTTAGCTATGGAGATGGCTATGCTCACTGTGCATCCTTGAGCTTCCTCATATGGCCAGCAACAATTAATAGTTATTGAATAAAACTAGTTTTACAAATTTTGTTGTGTATAATTTTACTTATTTTTAATTTCTGATGAATACAGCTGAAGAATTTATAGATATCATTAAAAACAGTAAGAAAAACCATTTCAAGTCTATAAAATGTAGAAGACTGACTTTTATAGCACAGAAAAATTGGAAAAAACCATACTGATTAAAAATAAAACCAATGATAAAAGTAAAGTTAAGATGTCATCATTAGAAGAAGATTATAAGTTGATTATCGAAAAAAAAGAAATACCGTCAAATTAAACAAAATTATTTCTGTCTGTTGTGGCCTGATGGTAAACCAATTGCTCCTGCAAAATAAGTTGACTTGCAGTCAATGTAACAAAGTATCACTATATTAGTGAGGATTGTTTCCGATTCTATAAAACATTAACAAGTTCGTGCTAAAGTTGTGTCACATAATAACCCACACAAGCACTTTTATAGCCAAAGAGTGATTGTATCATGGAACAAGCTGCCATCAGAAATGATATCTATACAAACCATTAACCGATTAAAGAACACATTGAATTAACAACCAAAATAAAAAAATAGCACATTTGAAAATAGGATAAATGCTTATAGCAGTTGTTTCAACTGCTGGCCTGTTAAATAATAATAATTATTATTTTGAGGACATCATTGATGATGTTGATGGGTTTGGTGGAGAGCAAGACTTCGACATACAAGACGATAATATACCCAATGTCCCGATGACAATATTGTAAGAACCAAATAATATAGAATAATGTATTTAAATAAAAAAAATATTTCCTATTATTTTTCTTTTTTTTCATATTTATTATTAACATACATACATAAACTCACGTCTTTTCCCATAGGGTAGATAGAAACTATAGAATGCCACCTGCTACGATTTTTACATAATCCTTTTACTTCATCAACATTCATACATCTGGTCACACATGCCCTCCAGTTGCGAGTACTACACACCTGACCTACCTCCTTCGAGGTTGTCACCTGCCTGTGTTTCTACTTACATCTGTCTTGTAGATTCTTTTCGTTAATTACCTTTGATTCATCTTCTCAACATGACCAAACCATCAAAGCATACTCTTTTCAGTTTTAGTCACTGTATCTTCCGTAATACTGTCTTATCCTGCCACAACTTCCACACATAAGGACATCAAAAACCTCACAGGGGGAGGAGCCCCCCCCCCCTCCTCCCCCGTGACCATGAGCGCTACAAAGTGTCCGAAACATCGGGAATCAAGAAAGTTAAATTTAATAAAATCTGAAAAAAATTGTTTTATTCCATACAATAACTCAGTTCTACATTTCTATCATCTACCTTCATATCACATAAAGACACAGTAAGACACATTCTCATTTCTTTCAAATACCATAACTTTTGTCTCATTCGCATTAATATTCATCCCGTCATCTTATATGCTTCATTCATCGCAGTTTCCTTGTCCTGCAACTGGCTGTCAATACGAGTAGAATCTCTTAGAAAAGACATTTGACAGATAACTCATTCATCATCAATCCATATTTACGCTTTCAAATCTGTCAGACAACAATTTTGTTATTTATTTTTTGTTTATTTAAAGATTTAATACCATGTAAAAGCTTAAAATACTTTGTGGAATATATCTGCAAAATCATTTGGGATGAGCGATCTTACAAAAAATCATTTTGTAAGAATGTTCCAGTACCATTTTTCCTAATTACTCACAGTTTTAAAGTAAAAAGCCCAAATAATGGCATATGACCATTAAATGATTATATTTTACTACAGTAAGCCCGTGTTTGTCTATATTAGTTAGGCAAAAAAGTGTACGACTGAAACATTAAATTGCTTTTTTCTCATATTGTAGTTATTGTGGACCGTTTTCGCAAACTACGTCCATTTTATTATACTATTAATATTTTGACACGTATTCAATAAACTGTACATCACCATTTTCAACAAACGCATTGAATTTATTATATTCCTTGATTTTTACAACATAACACGACAAGAAATTGATAAACATGGCTAATTTAGTTAAATACATAGACTTAGCATCTAAATCTATGGTTAAATAAGTCATTGTTTTCGAACCTGTTTCGAATATAGCGAATATTAATTCGCAATTTGATTTTTCGTAATAAGTATGATGCAATAAAACATTTACCAACCTCCTGTTACGTAAACCATGGTTAAAGACGATACGACTGCACAAAAACTGAAGCGACAATCAAAACTTTTAACTTTATCCAAACCAAATAATAATTATAAAACACAATTATGTACTCTTTTTTTAATAACTGGCTTTACTGCTTGAACATGAGCACACTTCTTAATAACTGGCTTTACGGCTGTGGGATCTAGCCCTTCTGAGCCTGTAGTTACAATATATTATAATATTTATCCTTCATAGTATACTGCTTCACAAAATGTTGATGCGTCACATTGTGCAGCCCTTGGGAGATTTTGACGGCAACTTGAGCCTGCAGACAGCTGACGGTTGGCGATGGTATCTCAAGGCGCCTAAGCAGACAGACACCTTATTTTGAGAATCACATCACCATCAGAGCACTTGTATGGCAGTTTCCACTAATAGTTCACATGCGCAGACACTTAATACACAAAATCGCACCACTTTTACATATCAAAGTCCACTTCAAATCATTATTTAAATAATAATACAGGAGTAGCAAACCGCCGCCGGTCAAGTTCCCGCGAAAAAACTGCTTGAGCACAATTACTCTCTTACCAAAGAGTTCACAGACTAACTAGTAGATTCTACCCGAATGTATAGTCAATAGTAACTGTCCTATCATGTCCTATACACCAGTATCTCTTAAGCTAGGGTCACACGGCCTGTTTTGTCATAGGTCAGACCGCGCCAGGCCGGACAACAGGCCGTGGGAACCATCGCATCCGATGAGGCCTGTGGTGGCCTGTTGGCGCCCGTCCGATCCATCGGGAGTCGGTAAGATCAAAGGCGCGGCGCGGCGCGTCGCGACGGCGCCTGTCGCGGCCTGTACGGGCGCGTCTGCGTCGGTTGCAATCGTTCATTTCAACTGCGGTGGCGCTTGCGCGTACATGCTCATGATGGAATGGACGAACGAGCTTATATTCGAGTTTTAACTCTTTATGAAAATGAACCAGCGCTTTGGAATAGTTCGTCACCTCAACATAAAAACAAGAACGGCTTTTGTTGAATGATGACACCCACCAGCGTCGTTTTTTCTGCTTTCTTTTTGCTTGGTTTATCAAACGTTCACCACTGAATAAAACCACCGCGGCCGCACACGCAGCCATGCGCTCCGTATCACTTAACATGTTTGAATGTCAGTTGACAGGCCGCACCAGGCCGGCACACGCCGTGGGAACGCTCAGTACGGGCCGCGACAGGCCCATACAGGCGGGGCAACGCCTGGCGCGGCCTGTCGCCTGGCAGGCCGTGGGACCCTAGCTTTAGTCGCCCATTACCACAGAACACTAATACCCTTAGGCGGGCCCATTACATCCATAGATATAAGAAAGATATTTATCTATTTTTCTTATATCTATGATTACACCTCTAGGCAAGCGTCAATCATGATTGACGTTAGAATGATAGAATAAAAGGGTATTTTATACCATGTAAAAAAATCAAAGAATATATAGGTATTTATGATAGATTTTGTAAAAAGTAAACGTGAAATATTGATTTCTATTTATGAAAATGCATTATAAATATATTTCAATTTAAAGATTTTGTTTTACCTGTGCCTCAAATCTGCAAAATGATGTCCGCCATATTAGATAGCGTCGTGACGTCACTAGGTCAAAGAACTAGGTTATGTGCTGCGTACTAACTAGACAATTTCGAAATTTTTCAAGTTATCATTACGATTATTGACTTTTATTCCGAATTTTATTGAAAAGGCATCATGGAAGACGGATTCGTAAAAGCGAGTTTATTACTTTGCTTTTAGCACTAATATTATAGATATTATAATATAAGCTTAGGCAAGAAAAACTTTTTGTTATATTTTTTTGTACAAACCCTCAGACGAAATAAAAAGTCACTTTTATATTTGGTCTGTGTACAAACCATGTCTTTATTCCCATATAATAGAAGAAAACAGGAATTAAGTAAAACACTGCACTGCACTTGCAAGGGCTATCAAAATGGCCCACAAAGGGCGGGACAGACGAGCGATTAACCTAATCTATTACAAAATTTGACTTGCAATAGGTACCTCTCAAGTCATGATGTTTTATTTTGTTTAATCGATAGTTAAATATAAGTCATACTTACATCAAAGTGATCTTCACATAAGTATAGTTTAGATTTTGTAGACAATGCCTTCGGGTCGGTTTTATTAAAGTAAAAGAAAAAAAACGAATAGGAGAAATTGTAATATTTAATATCATTTTACCAATTTTAATTTAACACGCGCCAATGTTCGACCTTTTCGAGCGCATAATCGATACGCGGCTTTATTTGAAACGCATTTATGGACGAAAAATAAGCTTACCTTTTATATTTATTCGTATAGGGTGGATGCCCCTATTGCCGGCCTTTTAGTGCCAATTTAAATTTCCTTTTGTGTACCTAATGCCAGCATAGCATAGGGCTATGCCTCTTGAGTTTTTGGTAGGTACCTATTAAAGGTAAGTTTTATGGGCACTGAAATAAATTCATAACAACTTTTAATTTTAAATCATGCATGTCATCATGGAATATGTATTAAGATAGACGACAACAATTTTTTTTATTTTAATGTTTTACTTCTTACCTTACTGTGGTTTAGCTTTAAGCAGTTCCACTTTTCTTTTAACACTAAACAATTAATTAAAACAAAATTATAATAAAAATTCAAGTTTTCGTATCCTCATCATCATTTCAGCCCTTCACAAGTCCACTACAGAACATCATCCTCCATAGACTGCCGCAAACCATGGTCCTGAACTACTTTCCTTGTTATGACTTTTTCATTTATGTTCTTAAGTTATAGTAAAATTAGTATTACTAAGTTGTAGTTAATTACATTTATTGTTTGTTTTTTTCTTTCTCAAAAAATAATTAAATATTTTATGGTGTTCTTAACATATACCAAATGTCTGAAAAGCAAGTACGTATCATTTGCTAAACTTTTAAATCAAAAACAAATTTTAAAATATAGACGAATTGATCATAACTTCATTAACTATAAAATAAGTTATGTTCTAATTAATAGTATTTATTCCAGTTTATGACAGCCCTGATTTATATTACGTGGCTGAAATTATGTACTTCTTATTAAGTACGTCAAACCAAATAACAGCTGGGCAGCTGACATTAAGCACTCCATACATTTCATATATCTAATTACAGCCCTATTAATTTCCACTAAAATAAAATAAAAAAACTGATAGATTTAAACAAAAATAGCTGCATTACTATGTCTATAGTCACATTCATACAAATCAAAATGCCTAAAGATGAGCTAATGTAAAATATGCTTAATTGTATCGGGATCATAACTTGTCAAAAAATTAGGAAAATGAGCGTTTTTGGTTGCGTACGTGTTTTGGTTTTTAATTTAACTCTGTTAGGTTTAAACCTGTGAGGTAATTAATATGTGAAATATACTTTCCCGTAGTTACGAAGAATTTATTAGCCGACAATATTTGTAGTTAAGACTACTAGAAATCTTATTTACGAAGTAAAAAGGCGGAAAGGCTGGAATTAGTGGCGTGGCTAGTATTAGGGGCATCGACTTCTGGGCATTCATGGCTATGAAATGTACTGTAAACTTCATGAGCAGCGAAGAGGTGGTGGCATTGTGATGTATATAAAAAGTACCCACAAGTTCCAAATTTTAAATAATGTATCACTAAACAATTGTGAATCTTTAATAGGGAAATTATCTATGTCACTTCATTACACGGCACTTATTTGTTCATTGTATAGACCACCTAAAGAAAGCAAACACTTATTTATCAAGGAATTGAGAGAACTGTTGTGTAAGGACTCTTTTAAACGCTTAGATTTATTCTTATTGGGTGATGTAAATATCGACTTGAAATCGCATAATAACATACGTGAATACTATATAAGTTGTATGGCCGAGTGTGGCCTAGCAAGTGCAATATCAGATCATACTAGAATCGAAAAACGAAATGATACTATTACGCGGAGTTGCATTGATCATATTTTTGCAAGAACGCGTTCGCTAGACCTTTACTCGGCTGCGCTCGGTACTGTTATGGCGGACCACCGTATGATTGTGTTGTCGTGCATAGGAAGCGACTGGTCGCGTCTGTAAGTCCGTAGATGAAGCTGTAATCAAAGCATTTAAGAATAACAATTTATCATTAAAAAATATAGCTAACAATTTTGGTAAGGAATTCTGCGAAAACGTTACGAACATTTTGCCTAGGTGCAGCAAAAAACTCATGTCAGAATCGGAATATATATTTCCAGAAAATAAATCTATGTTATTCAGAAAATCTACTAAGCGCGATATATTAACTATTATAAAAAGTCTAAATGCAAATAAATCAGCTGGTAATGATGGAATTCGATGTTTTGACATGAAGATGTTAAGTGATAAGATAGCTAATGTTGTAGTTAAGTTGATAAACACTAGCATATCAGTAGGAAAATATCCACCCGAATTGAAAACCGGTATCGTAAGACCAATTTACAAAAAGGGATCACATATTGACTATGATAGCTATAGGCCAATAATAATACTGCCAAACATAGATAAAGTAGTTGAAAAATATGTATCTCAACAAATTCACAATTTTTATACTAAACACGATGTATTGTCAAATACTCAACATGGCTTTCAATCTAATAAATCAACTACTACTTTGCTGTCTAAATTCACGGACGAAATAAATCATTTGATACTCTTAGGCATGATATTCCTATAAAAAAAAAACTTGACAATACAGGTGTCCGCGGGCCATTATTACAATGGTGCCAAGATTATCTCAACGGTAGAAAATACCGGGTAAAGATTGGCAATGACCTCAGTGACGAAATACTGATAACTACTGGAACAGCACAAGGCTCTGTTCTCGGACCCTTGCATTATTTAGCGTACGTCAATGAAATGGAAAACATAATAAAACTCTGTTCCATACACCAATACGCTGACGATACATGTCTTGTTGCAGCTGATAAACATTTAGCTAAGGCTGAACACTGTTTACAAATTGACTTCACTAACTTATGTAAATGGTCTCATGATGTTGGTCTAGTACTCAATGCTAGTAAAACTAAAATTATTCATGTGCGTTCTAACTACCTACTCAATTTTGATAAGAAAATCGAAGTAATCGCGCATAGTCACCAGTGCTTGCATGTTTTGCAAACAAATAGGACCGGTTGCAAATGTGAGTTGTTAGAGCAGGTTCCTCGTTACAAATACTTAGGACTAGTAGTCGATGACA